CCACTACCTAAAGAAACCTAGAAAAGGTGAGGGAAAAGGAAAATCATACTATTTAGTTCACAGAAGCATTTCGAAGAGGTCATTGTTTCCTTCCACTGTTACAGCTGTACCAGTGAACAGAGACAAAAAGGAGTTTGCAAATATGTAAGCAGAGAAGAACTGCAATTTTGTAAACAATTTTGTCTATATTTCAACTTTTGAGAAAAGATTATACTTGTTTTTTCTTTTATTTTATACAAAAATAAAATATCATGACCAAATAATAATGGCAGTAATTATTATACTATGTGACATAATCTTCAAATTAATTACTCAGTTTTTGTTTTTTCTTTTTTTGTAGTGGGAATTAAACTCAGGACTTTGCACTTGCCAGACAGGCATCATGAAACTGAGCTACATCCCAGTTACTTAGTTTTAAATGGTATCTGTGAATAATAAAGTAGTAGGGAAAGTTGACACTGAGTCAAGGGAGAGTTTTTCAAGTATCAAGAAAAGTAGGGCTGGGGAGATAGCTTGGCAGCATAAGCACCTACCTGACAAGTGTGAGATCCCTAGTTTGATCCCCAGTATTGCCCCCAGGCCAGCCCTGGAACCCAGAGGGCGCCACGTGGGCCCTAAAATGAGGCATAGTGGTGCAAGCCTGTAATCTCAGAGCTGGGAGACTGAGACAAGAGGATCACTATGAGTATCAACTGTGAAGCATGACCTTATATTAAATAAATTAATAAATTTTTAAAAGTAGTTGTGATTTGAATACTAATAGAAAAGATCAAATAGGTTAAGTAGCTAAAGAAAGGAATTGAGTTCAATCCCCAGTTCCACCAAAAAAAAAAAAAAAAAAAAATGCTTTTTGTTTAAAACTAGAGAGTTAAATACATGTAACTTGCATCACAAAAAAAAATGAAGGAAAATAGAAATAGGAAGTGGGTGGCTGAGAGAAGGCTGATGAAAAGCTATCAAGATGTACTATGCCTTCATGCCAGTCTTCCAAGGTGTATACAGTTATTACGTACTGCAAACAAAAAAAAGGACATAAATGTGTTTATGAAGTAAACAACAATTTCCCCTAAGACATAAGATAAAAACCGCTTACTAATCCCCAAGAGAAGTGAGGATGAGAAGATTTCAAATGCTAAAGATGTGAAACAGCAATCGCAGGACAAGAAGAAGACAGCCAAGCAATTCCTTCCACCTGAGGCTGCAGACCAGACTTTACCCATAAAAAGGCACAGGAGTACAAAAGCGAATGTACACTGAGATGGCTAAAAGAATGGGCCATCCAACTGAGATTAAAGAAGTGAAAAGAAACTTAACAGGATTCCATTCAGCGTTAAAAATGATGGCTTGGGGCTGGGGTGATGGCTCAGTGGAATAAGTGCTTCTTGGCAAGCACAAGGGCCTCAGATCAATCCCCAGTTCCGCCAAAAAAAAAAGAAAAGAAAGAAAAGCTTTTGGGCTGGAGAGATAGCTCAGTGGAATAAGTGCTTGCCTGGCAAGTGCAAGGTCCTGAGTTCAATCCCTGATACCACCAAAAATAAATAAATAAATAAATAAATAAATAAATAAATATAATAAATAAAAATGATGGCTTGGGGGTCAGGGAGATAGCTCAGCAGTCTAAGCACCTGCCTGGCAAGTGCAAGGATCCAGGTTTGATCCCTAGTACCGCATGCAGTGCCGGCCATGGAAAGCAGGTATGGTAGTGCACACCTGTAATCTCAGCACTGGGGATGCTGAGACAGGAGGATCACTACAAGTTGGAGCTATGTAGTGAGACCCTGTACCAAATAAATAAATAAAAGATTTTTTTAAAAAATTTAAATAATGGCTTGGCCTGGGAGTGCAGGCTAATGATAGACCACATGTAAAGCCTTCAGTCTCATTCCCAGCACCACACTGAAGGAAGGAAAAAAGGAATGTAGTGAAGGAGAGAGGGAGGGGCAGACCCACTAGTGTGAAATCACCATCTCGTGTAGAATGGACAAGAAGAGCATACAGCTGACTCTCAAGACCTGGCGGAAGCTAACTCCAGTTATTTTTCAAAATAACAAGCTACATGTGATCAACAAATAATGATTGATGGCTTGAGCATAAACAAGAAGCTGGGGCCAACTTGTTAAAAGATGGTGACCAACAGGCACTAAAACTGACCAATGAGATGATGGAGCTTCTAACAGCAAGCAAAACCAAAAGTGTGACGCCATCTTTACAAAAGAAAGCAGGACAGTGGTGGTAAGTAAAACAAATGCTGGTACTAAACAGAAGTTTCAAAAAGAAAAGGTTCTTTTAAGGATAAAAAGTCTCTAATATCCAGACCAGCATGTCCAATAGAAATATAAGGCAATCCACCTATAACTAAATATTCTAGTAGATACATTAAGAAAGTGAAAGGTAAAAGGTAACATTAACTTTAATAAAAACTATTTTACTTAATATAAATATTACTATCATTTTAACACATAACCAATGTAAATATTAGACTTTTTACACTGATAATTCTGCATCTCATACATGATGAAATTAGATGCACCGCTTAATTAACATTCAACACTGGTCACATGTCAGGTACATCAGTGGCTAACAGCACAAATACAGAACTTTTTCATCATTGTCAAAGTACCTATTAGACAGCAGACTGAAATGAATGAAAGTATTAAGGAAGGATATGGGAAACATCTCGGGGGTGGGCAGTTAATGGTATACTGAATAAAAAACTTTATTAGACAATTGGCACACAGCGGTATCAAAGAAATTCAAGTATAAGCTCAAATAATTTCTCCATTAAAATCACTGAGAAAATGGGTAATAATGTTGTAGACAATTGAGTTAGATAGATACACTATAGGCAGTCCAGACAGGGGTAGGCCCTCGAAGGAGACAGCATGGAAGACAGGATACCTTGCAACTGTACAAGAGATGGACGCTCCCACTGTGGACCAGATCTGAGGACCACTGATGAAACAAATGCTCACCCTCCTATAGATAAGCATCCGGGACTGATCATTACCTTGAGGAAGCCAGGAAGAGTCACTAATCCAACTGCTACTGGCTACCAGATAAAGTCCTGTTCTGTATTCATGCTCGCTTGCTAAGTGACATGCTTTCCTATTTGGTCCAGGATTTAATCAACTGTACCTGTGCAATTGTGCTTGTGGTCTTATTCGTTGACCATAGTCTTGTCCCACCTCATGTGCGAGTTTTCATGTTTCCTAACCTTAGACTTGCTTCACCTCATGGTTCTGCTCTATAAAAAATCCCTGGAAAAGGCAGATGCCTGGGCAACCCACTTGGATCCCACTTCTGCCCCTCTCTCAGACAAAAGCTTTCTTCCCGCCCCACCCCCCAAAAAAATATATTCTGCTCTTAACCTCCGTTGTTCCTAAAATTCATTCTTCAGTTTTAGAGAACTCAAACTCTCATTCATTCCACTTATCTTTCAGGTTGAGAGTTTCATTCCCCTATTATTATCAACAGTGGTCAAATCCTTCCCCCAACTCTGAAAATTAACCAAAAGCTGGCATCAATTGGCTGAACGCTTAGTAAAAGCAAAAACATAAAACTGCTGAATCTTAGTAAAAAGCAGCAGCCCATTGCACTTTAACTTGTCCATTCTCAACTCTAGGGAGTCTGAGGCAGGAGGACTGCCTGTGAGTTCAAAGCCAGCCTGAGTTACAAGGTGAGACGCTGCCTCAAAAACCAATATCCAACCAAATGACACCAGCCACAACAATATATTCTGAAGGGCATAGTCTGATTTCTACAGCTGCCACACTGTACTATTTTAAAAGTTGTATTCCACTCTCCCCAAAAGATTTAAGATATGTAAACAAAACAATCCACAACCCAGAAGTGATGATGCTCAAGAAAGAGGACTAACCTACAGAAATTATTCCTTAGTCATTAAACATACATTAAAATTTCTATTTTAAATGCTTAAAGAATTGAGAAGACCATGTCTAAAATTATTTAAAAAAAAAAAAAATCCAAGTAGAAATTCTGGAGTTAAAAAGCATAAGAGCTAAAATGAAAAATTCATTCAGGGAGAGTAAATAAATCAGAGCTGGCAGGAAAAAAAAAAAGCAGCAAACCTCAATACAGGTAAAATAACAACCAAACTAAGTAAAATACAAAAAATGAGCAGAGCCACAGAAACCTATGGAACAATATCAATCACACCAACGTATGAATAACTGGAATCCCTGAGGGAGGGAGAACAGTGATGGGGAGGAGGAGAAAAATGCAAAGTTTGAAGAAAAAATGAAACAAAGAAAACTTCCCAAATTTGTTAGAAAACCATTAAAAGCTTTAAAAAAAAAAAAAAACCAAAAAACAATATAACCAAAGAGACTCCATTCACATTAATCAAACAGTCAAAAGTGACAGAGAGAATACTAAAACCAGTAAGAAAGAAGTAACAGACTATGAACAGTTGCTTCCTTCTCAAGAAATTAGCAGAAGAAATTAAAGCTAAAGCAAACAAAAAATTAAATGATCAAGATTTAACCAGAAATAAATGAAACACATAATAAGCACAATAGAAAAAATACCAAAGCTGGTTCACTGTAAACATCACCAAAACTGATAGGCTTACCCAGACTAAGAGGGAACGCTGGATCTACTGAAGTCAAGAATGAAGGAGAAAGCCACTACCAGCTTTACATGACAAAGTTAAAAGGAAGCCTATGAACACCCGCATACCAACAAATTAGAGGACCTAGAAAAAAATGTAAAAGCTCCCTTGAAAGACCCAAATTATCAAAACTGACTCCAGTGATAGAGGGCTCACACAGTGCATGCAAGGCCCTAGCTTGGATTCCCAGCAAACACCACCAACACCACCACCCCCAAAAAAGAAAACAAAGTAACTGAAGTGTCCTGTAACAAGATTAAAATGTAAATGGCAATGGAATACCCATCGCTGACAAAATTAAACAAAAAAAAAAGGGGATACTAATGAAAGATCATTTTGTATCTGTATATATAAAATAGGATAGATACACAGCTACTTCCTCTTAATCCAATGAGAAGAAACACTTGTACTATTAGTGTTTGGACAGGATATCATGTCTGCATCTTGTACTATGAATAACCACTATGAAGACAACAATATGCAATTATTGAACCTGTCCCACTAATCGGTTTTGAAATGGTCTCATTGCTATTTGTTTCTCTCGTTGCTATTTGTTTTGCAATAAAATTAACAAAATAAATAGCTATTATCTAAAGAAGATTAAATTAGTAAACACACACACACACACACAGAATCTTTAAAAAAAAAAGAAACATAAAAATCCTACTAAACCCAAGCCCAGACATCTACATTGGTAAACTCTACCAAAAGTTTAAAGATTGCCCAATCCTTCACAACTAAGAAACAGAGAGGAGGGAACACTTCCCATCTTATTTTATGAGACCAGTTTTCCCTACTACCAAAACCAAATAAATGCATCAAATGAAAACAAAAACCCAATGCTCTTTTTTATTTATTATTTATTTTTTTTGGGGGGGGGGGCAGAAACGGGGATTGAACTCAGACCCTTGCGCTTGCCAGGAAAGCGCTTATTCCACTGAGCCATCTCCCCGGCCCCCTCCCAATGCTCTTTATCCACAAGCAAAAACCATCAACAAAGTACTAATCATAGATTCCAGTGACATGGCAGAGATTACACACAGTGATCAGTGAGGTTTAGCCCAGAAGGAATATGTCTGATTTACATATTAAAGTTAGCCAATGCAAAACATTAAATTAACCAAGTAAACACAACAACCACATGACCTTATCAATAAAAAAAAAAATGCATTCGACAAAAATGCAATATTCAGGGCCAGCCAAATAGCTCAGCAGATTAAAGTGCCTGCAAGCAGGCACAGGGGCCAGGGATTTGATCCCCAGAACTGCCCTGCTGGCCCCGCCTCTGGGGCGTGCTGAGATGGCACACGCCTGTAATCCCAGCACTTGGGAGGCTAACACAGGAGAATCCCTACGAGTCTGATCTACACACTGAGACCCTGTAGACCCTGGCCTAAATACAGGAAAAAAAAAAAAAATTTAAATGACTCTGTTCTGGAGGTTCTGTAAGAGGTATTTGGCAAGATAAAGAAAAGAGAGCCATGACAGGCTTTGAAGTAACATACAAAAGTAAAACTATCTCTTGCTCAAAATGTGTGATCTTGTAAACAGGAATCCTTAACAGATCATTTTTTAAAAATCCTATTAATAAAGTTGTACTATATAAAAATCATTAATTTTATACATTAGCAAAAAACCAAAAAAGAACTGAAAATTCAGAAAGCAATTCCACTTTCAATCACATCAGGAAGAATAAAATAGGAATTGATTCAACGAAAGTGTAAGTCTTGCACAGTGAAAACTATAAAACATGGTTCAAAGATACTGAACATATAGATGTGATGGCACATGCTCATAATTCCAGCCACTCTGGAGGCTTAAGTAGGAAGATGTCAAGTTTGAGGCTAGCCTGGGCAACCTGGTGAGATCCTGCCTTCCAATCAAAAAAAGAAAAGTAATTTTTAGAGCTGGGGAGTTAGCTCAGCGGTCCAAGTGCTTACCTAGTAAATGCAAGGACCCAGGTTTGATCCCCGGCACTGTATGCCATGCCAGCCCCAAAACCAGGTGTGGTGGTGCACACCTGTAATCCCAGCACTGGGGAAGCTGAGACAGGAGGATTACTACAAGTATGAGCTGTGTAATGAGACTTTATACCAAATAAATAAATAAATAAAAGATTTTTTTTAATATTAAAAACAATTCTTAAAGGAAGAGGGCAAGGGATGCATCTCAGTAGTAGAGCACTTGCCTGATATGTGTGCCCTTCAGTTCAATCCCCAAGATCCCCAACCTCCTCCCAAAAATTGAAGAACCAAATAAAGGATACCTCATGTTCATGAACTGAAAGAAAATACTGTTAAGATTGAAATATTCTCCATACTGATTTACAAACTGAACACTATTCCTATCAAAATCTGAATTGGCTTCATTGTAAAAATTGATAATCTAAGCCTAAAATTACAGGGAAATTCAAGGAACCCAAAACACTTTTAAAATAATTGAAATAAAATAAGAGTTGGAGAATTTATACTTCCTAATTTCAAAACTTACAACAAAGTATAATTAAGAATCTAAAAGTTCTCTAGGTATAAAGCAACGAGGTTTTAAGATATTAAAATGTTCTTAGTTGATTGTAGAAAACTTACAACAAATTTGCAATCATCAATATGGTAAAAACTCAGAAATAAATCCTTATGTTTATGGTCAACTGTCTTCCCACAAGATTACCATGACAACACAATAAAAAATAAAATAAATAAAATTAAAGACTAATCTTTTCAGCAAAAAGTGCTGGGACTCTGGATATCCATCTAGGTTAAAGAACAAAGAGCTGATGCTCACTTCAGCAGCACATATACTAAAATTAAAGTGAGTAACCTCTACGTATGTACCACAGTGGCTAAAATAATGAAGTCGTTTCCAAGTGTTGGTGAGTATGTAGAACTGAAATTCCATTGCTGAGATGTTACCACTACATTGGAAAACTACTGCAATTTTTTAAAAAGTTAAACATATACATGTATGTATCATATGACTTAGCCCAAATATTTACCCAAAATAAATGAAATCATGAACCACTATTATTACATTTCTTTAAAAATTTATAAAGAAAAATGTCTGAAAGACAAGACTCCCCAAGTTTTAACAATGGCTATGTTTTCCTACTGGGTTACAGTAAATCAGATTTGTGCTATTTGCCATTTCTCAAGTTATTAAACAATCTAAATTATTTCCATTTTATAAAAAATGACACAGAAAATGAAGTCATGTACATCATAAGTCAGTATAAGTTTTCTTTTCAATAGTAAGTTTGATGCTTTTTATTTTTTATTTTTGACAAGTTCATTAGAAAGCAAAGGAAGAACCTGTAGGAGATACTTTAAATTTTTTTAATGCGCTTAGTACTTGGGATTCAGGGTCGATAGGGTCTCACTACATAGATGGGACTTGTAGTGATTCTCCCAAAGCCCTGGGATTACAGGTGCACACCACCACACCCAGTCGCATTCGCCAGCTCAGTGTGCCCGGGGTGCGGAGCCAGCACAGCATGCCAGGTAGTGAACCATAGCCACTGTGCTCTGTCTAAGCATGCACTTAAGTCCACTGAGCTATCAGGGTGGCCCTGTAGGAGATAATTTTGACAAGTTCTCAATAAAGATGGAAGTTCAGCCAAAGCAGAAAAAGGCTAGAATACGAATATATATTATGTTCATAATATATACTGATGTTCGTAATATTATAAGATGAACTGATAGCCACTAAATTGCACATCAACATCACCAGAATTACATACTATAAAGATCCCAGAATATTTCCTCTATTAAGCAAAATAACATAACTCAAAAAATTAATGAAAATGTGGAAAGTACATATGGCAATCTGCAAAGGCTAAAAGCTGAGAAAGGTACTAAAATGCTTTGTAAGACATGCTCAGAATCTAAATGAAACTCAATCTGGAAATACGTATATCCAAACCATGTGGTTTCCCAAACCTCACACCCTTATGCCAAACTATAACATGAATGAAAATTTTAGTGAGAGAACTGTAACAATGGGATACAGAAATACGGTGTTTGTGGGACACATTTCAAGTACTCCATCAATTTCTCTTCACTTTAAAGTTCAGAGTGGGGCTGGTAAGATGGCTCAGTGGTCTAAAGCACCTACTTAGAACAAGCTAAGCTAAGCAAAGCACAGGGACCGAGATTCAATCCCCCAGCACCATGTGCCAGCCAGCCTCGCCCCCTGGTGGGCTGAGCTGGCCACACACACAAAATAAATAAACAAACAAA